AAAAAAAAAAAAAAAAGGACTCCTTTAGAGGAGTCTATGCTAGAAGACCACGGTGGATAGGTCAATGAGGATTCTGGTGAGTTCCATGGCAGATACACAATGACCACCGTCTGGCCCACACTCTTACCATAGAGGACCCCACTGACCACCATACAGCGTCCTCTGCTCTGTGAATCGCACAATCTACCCTCAGTCCTTTAGTGCCTGTACCAAAGCGTGCCAGAAGGAGAGCCCGCCAGGAGGACAGAGAGCCCTGCTTCCAGCTGAGTGCAGCAGGTGCCATGGAGGTGAGCGCTGTCCATCTCCAGTGTGTTCATCGTGCTGGTTTGCACGTGTCCCTGATGTAACAGTGGTCACAGCCTGTTGTGGACTGAAGTTTGTCATTGTTGTGCTCTCAAGTCGATTCTGATTCATAGTGATCCTACAGGACAGAGTAGAACTGCCCCATAGGGTTTCCAAGGCTGTATGTAATCTTTACGGGAGCAGATTGCCAGGTCTTTTCTCCTACAGAGCAGCTGGTGGGTTCCAACTGCTGACCTTACAGTTAGCACTCAAGCAGGTAACCATTGTGTCACTGGGGCTCCTTATGTCCCCCAAAAATATGTGTTGTAAATCCTAACCTCTTTATCTGTGGACATAGTAGCATTTGGGAATAGGGTTTTCTTTGTTACGTTAATGAGGCCATATCTGCGTAGGGTGTGTCCTAAACCTAATCACTTTTTTTTTTTTTGAACATTTTATTGTGGTTTGGGTGAAAGTTTACAGAGCAAATTCATTTCCCATTCAACAATTTATACACATTTTGTTTCATGACATTAGTTGCAATCCCCTCAATGTAACAGCACTCTACCCACTTCCTTCCTGGGTTCCTCATTTCCATTTGCCCATCTTTCTGCCCCTTCCTGCCTTCTGAACTTTGGTTTTGGCAAATGCTGCCCTTTTGGTCTTGTATGGTTGATTGTTCTGAGAAGCACATTCCTCGTGGGTGTTATTGTCACTTTATAGGACCGTCTATTGTTTGGCCGAAAGGTGATCTCCAGAAGTGAGTTCAGTTCTAGGTTTGATGGGTGTCTAAGGGCCACAGTCTTGGGCGTTTCACCAGTCTCTATCAGACTAGTAAGTCTGGTCTTTTTTATGAATTTGAATTTTGTTCTACATTTTCTCCCACTCTGTCTAGGACCTTCTATTGTGATCTCGATCAGAGCAGTCAGTAGTGGTAGTGGGGCACTATCTAGTTCTGGTCTCAGGCTAGCGGAGGCTGTTAAACCTAATCATTTTTGAAATATAAAAGGGGCAGATTAGACATAGAGAAGGAAGACAGATGTCATGTGGAGATCACCAAGGAAGAGAAGGTGAAACAGACAAGGACCTTCCCCCAGAGCCGACAGAAAGAGCCTTCACCCCAGAGCCGGTGCCCTGAATTCAGATTGCCAGGCTCCTGAACAGTAAGAAAATAAGTTTCTGTTCTTTAAAGCCAACCACTTGTGCTATTTCTATTACAGCAGCACTAGGAGACTAAGACATTGCTCCCCTGCCTAAAGCCCTACCCAAGAGCACACGTAGAAGATTTTTCCATTTCTGCCCAGACAGCTTTTGAGCTGGGGGGACTGCTCATCATAGAACTACTCGTGTTGTCTGTGAGTAATTAAAACAGCTTTCACTATTGCCAAAACCGTGTACGTGTCTTGCGTGTACAACTTGATCAGGCTAAATGGACATAACACCCATGGGTTGGTGCCACTGGGTGGGATTCTCATCCCAGTAGTCTGTGGCTACCTGGGATCCAGACACAGCCTTTAAGGCAGTGGTTAAGCATTTGGCTGCTAACTAAAAATTCGGCAGTTCAAATCCACCAGCTGCTCCTTGGAAACCCTATAGGGCAGTTCTGCTCTGGTCTGTAGGGTTGCTATGAGTTGGAATTGGCTCAGTAGCAACAGGTTTGGCTTTTTGGTTTTGTGTGTGTGCAATGCAGATCTCACCAACTTTCACCCCAGCTCTGGAAGGTCAGCCGTGTGACCACTTTTTTCCAGAAGCAAACACAGATACCACTGGGTCCTAAGCGTCCTTACCTCTCGCTTTCATCTGCAGCCTTCTCAGCCTCCTCCAGCTTCTGCAGGGCTGTGGCCAGGCGCTCCTGAGCCCTGTCCAGCTCCTCCTCCACAAGCTGGATACGTCGGTTGAGAGCTGCCACATCACCTTCAGCCTGGGGAGAGGGGGCAGAGGGCAGCCAGGTTAAGAAGTAACAGGACAGCCTCCAGTGGGAGGCCCCAGACCCGCACCATGCCCTTCCCTTGGCGAACACGCTCCCCCGCCAAAGTCCACCCAGGAATCCAGGCAGTAAGGCATCCTCACTCTTGTCTGGAGAGGGAATGTCAATTTCCAGTATGACTGTCCCCCAAAATGCCAGGGAACATCTTTCATTCAACAAAAAGTGTGTGTCCCAGCACAGGATAGGAGGTCAGGTCAACACCAGGAGAGAGATGAGGGGCACGCTGTGGGCTCTGAGACAACACTGTTGGCCTCTCCAGCAACTCATAATGAACCGAAAACAGTAAGGTCCTGGAAAAAGCACAGTGGATAGAGTGCTTCTGGGTTCCTTGAGAGCAAGCCCATTGGCGACCTGGCTCACCCTGCCATAGAGGGTCTGCTTACAATTACCTGAAGGGCAAGATAAATGCAAGAATATGGGAGCCTCATTCTATGGAAGAATCCTGATCAAAAGGGGGAAAAAGGTGGAACAGAACCTCAAATTTTCATGGAATCCAGACTTCCTGGAGCTACTGAGGCTGGATGAACCCCTAAAACTATTGCCTCAAGGAAATCTTTAAACCTCAAATCGAAGCTATCCCCTGAAGTCATCTTTAAAAACCAAACAAACAATAGTTTAGCTTAATTAGAAAAGAATGTCTGCCTTGCACATTTTGTTCTTTTAAAGAATTATCCATATGGGATCAAATTCACAACAGCAACTTGAGAGGTTAGATGAGAAGCTTAGGGAGCAGTGAGTTTGTGCTAATCATGGCAAAATAATTCAGAAAAGGATATGAAGTGGCACAACCTAAAGAATGTAATCAATGTCACTGAATTGTACATGTAGAAATTATTGAATTGGTGTATGTTTTGCTGTGTATATTTTCATAAAAAATGAATTGGAAAAAAAAAAATCATTGAATGGTTAAAAAACAACAACAAAGAATATGGGAGCCTCACCATGAGATACCACCTCACCCCGTTAGAACGGCAATGATAAAAACAAAAAATAAACAAATGGAAAACAGGTGCTGGTGAGGTTGTAGAGAAACTGGAACCCTCGTCAAATGCTGCTGGGAATGGAAAATGGTATAGCTGCTGTGGAGAACAGTTTGGTGGTTCCTCAAACAGTTGAACATAGAATTACCATGTGACCCAGCAATTCCACTCTTAGGTATATTCTCAGAAGAAGTGAAGGCAGGAACACAAACAGAAACCTGTATACCAATGTTCATTGCAGCACTTTTCACAACAGCCAAGAGGTGGAAACAAATGAAATGTCCATCAGCACATGAATGGATAAACACAATGTGGTCTATACATACAATAGAATACTACTTAGCCATAAAAAGGAATGAAATCCTGATGCATGCCACAACATGGATGAACTCTGAAAACATGCTGAGTGAAATAAGTCAGTCGCAAAAGGACAAATATTGTATGATCTCACTTATATGAAATAAGCAAATATATAGAAACCAAAGCTTATTAGTGGTCCCAGGGATATGAGGGGGGGCTAAAGGAGGAGTTTTTGCTTGAGGGGAACATTGAGTTTATATTAATGGTGGTGGAACAATTTGGAAAAAGATAGGGATAAGGGTTGTACAACATGAAGAGCGTAATCAATGCCACTGAATGGAGCATGTAGATGCTTGAATTGGTGAATGTGTTATTGTTTATATTTGCACCACTATAAAAAAAAAAAAAAGAATATGGGAGTCTCAGTTAAATGTTGGCTATACAGTTGCGGGGGAGAGGGAAATGGGACAAAAAAGTATGCAAAGGAAAGAAAACTTGGTCACAGGCACAAAAGAGTTGTCTGAATAGTGTTGTTGGCTTTTGAAGGTGTTTTCACCCACAGGGAAGGTACATGGCAGAGTGTATAAACACAGGGACTAGGGTCAGAATCCGGGTCTTGCCACTTTGTAGCCATGTGGCATTGGGCAGGTTGTTCCATCCCTCTGAGCCTTTACTCTCCCAGCTGCTGTGAGGACTACAACTGAAGAGCGTGGCATTGTACTTGGCACATACCCCAAAAAAAACCCAAACCAGTCTTCATCGAGTTGTCAGTTGCCCTTGAGTTAATTCTGACTCATGGCGACCCCACGTGTGCAGAGTAAAACTGCTCCACAGGGTTTTCAAAGCTGTTACCTTTCAGAAGCAGATCACAAGGCCTGTCTTCCAAGGCACCTCTGGGTGGATTCGAACTGCCAACCTTTCAGCTAGTGGCCGAGCATTTAACCATTTGTGCCTATCTGTATATATATATGTATTTTTGAAAAAATGCTTGTCACTGTTAGTCATTTAGGGCTCCACCTCTTCCTGCAATCAAAGCCTTCCACACTCTACAAAGGATTTCCCTTATAAGGTAAAAGAGGCTCAGTAGATACATGTGGCAAAGCAACAGGAAGATGTCGGTTAATCACACAAAAATCTAAACGAAACCAGCTGTCTGGAGGCCGCCCCAGAAGTCTGCCACACGCCGGCTCTTGGCTTTCTCTTCCAGCCGAGAGAGGCTTTTTTTTTTTTTTTTTTTGCCTCTCGGCTTAGTTCCTTTGCCCAAAAACCTTTTCCCAGCTTCCCCTGCCTAAGAGAAGCATGCTTTGTAAAGGGAAGTTTTTAAGAAGTCCTAAACTTTCCAAGCACATCTTTCCTCCCAACTGGCCTGTCCCATTACTCAGTCTTGGCACACAGCTAAAGGCCATTTTTAAGCAGAAGTAATTGTCCTCCAGCGACATGACTTGGGATGAGATCAGACAGAGGTTATGTATGTGAAAGAGGCCAAACCAGCTACTGTTTGAGGCGCACACGGTTTTCTAAGGCCTCTTCTCGCCAAAGCAGCCCTTACAGGATTAACCACCCAGCAGTTTGGGGAGGAGAGGACTTCTGGCCTGGGTGCTCTCTGAGATCTGTCCATACACCTGGCAACTCCTCTTCTCCTTCTGGGTCCCCACCTGGAGCCAGGATGCCCCAGCTTCCAGGGCCCCTGGGCTCCCATCCCCTCAACTTCCTTGCCTCTGAGCCTTTGCACACTGAGGTCCCTTGTCCCAGCAAACACTTATTCTTCAAAACCCTACTCAACCTCCAATTTGAGACCTCCTCCCCTCTGTCATGTTCCCATAAGAGAGCCTAGAGAACCCCCATAACACTAACCACACCTCCATCTCATTTGTGTGTCCCTACAACCCCCCACACCATTAGGCTGTGAGCACCTTCGGGGATAATGGGAGAGGAGAAAAGCACTAAGTGAGCACCTACTATGTCCCCGCCCCCGTGCTGCGGTCCTCACCTATGCCCAATGAGGTAGGCACTATCATCACCCCTACTATTCAGGTGGGGATGTAGGTGCTGGGAGGTCAAGTACAGAGCTGGACAAGGTGTTAGGTAGGATGCTAGTTGCGATGGGACTAGAATCCAAGTGCCTCCCCTGTACGGGTGTGGTCACCCTCTATACTGAGGGGCAGTGGGGATGGTGAGGGTCGGTGGGAATGCCGAAGGGGCGGTGGAGATGGTGAAGGGGCAGTAGGGACTGAGGGGGCGGTCGAGGCCTCTGGTCACCCTTTATGTCTGAGGCCCCACTGCGTGCAGCGCAGGCACACAGTAAGCACTCAAATGGCGGTGGGTGGAGGGTTCCATGCTAACTAGCATACCCCGTCCCGGGTCCCCCGCAGGGCCCAGTGCGGCTCTGACAGCACTTCCGTCCCCCGCCCGCCCAGGACAGACACGTCGCCGCCGCGCCCTGGGAAAGTTCGGTGGGAGCTGGGCAGCGCGGTAGAGCCAGAAAGTGAGCCGCCCCCATGCGCTCTGCAGGCCCTGTCCCACACAATGGCAGCTCAGCGTCCCCCTACCCTCTACCCCGGGCCAGGTGGGGTTCCTACCCTCGCAAGGAGCGTCCCTCCACCCGGATCATGCACCCTGCCCCTCCACCCATTTCCCTCTTGCTGGCCCCGCCCCGGCTGGCTGCGGCACCCCCTTCCCGGGTCCGGAGGGAGGACTTCGGTAGACACCGGGTCTCGGCGGCGGCCCCGGTGGGCGGCTGCGGCGGGGCCCGTGGGAGCCAAGGCGGCTCAAGGGGGCGGCGGGCGGTGAGCGCGGGAACCGGGCGGCGCCGGAAGAAAGGAAGAAAGGAGGGGCGCGGGGCAGGGGCCGCCGGGGGGGAGAGGGTCCTGGGGAGTGTGGGCCGGGGGACTAGGGGATCGCCAAGGCGGGGGTCTCGAGCAGGAGATTTAGGGGCAGCCGGTGGAGGATCTTAGGGGGGCAAAGGATGCCGGAAGGGGTCCCAAGGGGAGCGGGCAGGGGGTCCCAGGTGGGGGGCATCGGGCGCGTGGCTGGAGGCGCCCGAAAGGGGTCCCCGGGGGACGCAGGGACAGGGGGTGCAAGGCTGGAGGCTCCAGTGCGGAGAAGGGGTCCGGGGAGGGCGCTGGTGGGGGGAGCCAGGGCGGGCATTGCGGGGTCCGGGTCAGGAGGCGCCAAGCGGGGAGTGCGGGGCTGGAGGCGCTGGGAAGGGGTCTGGGGCGGGGCGCGGGGTGCCGGACAGGGAGTCCTAGGGCTGCAGGGATGTAGACGCCAGAGCGGGGATGCTGGGGAGGCGGGGACCGGGCGGAGGTGGTGGGGTCCGGGCCGGAGTGGCCGGGCGCAGGGCCGGGGGCGTCGGGGCGGGGTTGGCGGGTCCCCGCGCGCTCACTTTCTCTCGCCGTTCGCGTTCGCCGTCCAGCTCGCGCTGCAGGCCCTGCGCGCGGTCCTCCGCTTCGTCCGCCTGCTGCTGCAGGGCCTGGATCTTGCGCTTCACCGCCTCCAGTGAGTTGAGGCCGGCCATGGCGAGACGCGGCGGGACGCGGGGGCGCAGGCTGGACTCCGCAACGTTGCAGCACCGCCGCCCCGGCCTCCAGCCTTTGCGGCGCCGGCAG